ACTGTGACTTTTCTGAATTTGACGAACTCGGCCTCTCTTGACCAGGGCCTCTGACCCTGAGACCCGAATTTGGGGTCTGAATCGTGGAAGGCCTTTCACTTGCGCATGTGGAGAGTCGTGGAGCGGAGCCCTTTCTCTTTCCCACCTCCCTCAAGTTTTCTCCGCTTTTGTCGTTCCGGACATCCATTAAAATTGGACTGATACAGGGGAGAGGAGATTAGCACGGCCCCTGCAAACAACGATGACATAACGTAAATCGGGAAATAGTCCAAAGTAACCAAAAAAAAGCTGTCTGGGTTAAGTGGGTTTTCTATGCATTTTCCTTAAACGACACGGTCCCAGCCTTGTGGAAAAAAACTGTCCGTCACTTCCTCCGATGCATTTTTTCCCTTTAACCACCCAGTACATGGCCCCAGGCAACTGGAGAACCTGTTCTGAGCCTCTCCGAAAATTTAGGAGGCTGAGCGCTGTAGATCAAATGAATCGAGGGTGGGGGGCCTCCGAAAGGGGCCCACGGCTGATAGCTGGCATGACTGGCACTTTAAGCCACCAGTACTTGGCCCAGCTGTTGATTCCGAGCCTGTGACTACCGGTAGGCCGACCCTTCCCGAGGCTGGTGCTACTGGTAGTACTACAATGCTTTTTCTTTACAATTACGAAGAAGAAAAAAAAATGAACAACATCCTATGAAAAAAAAAAGAGAAAGAAACAGTGAAACACTGAAAAAATTGAAATAAAGCCAAACTTCGTTCTGCATCCCAGCACGCCCAGGGGGAGGGGAGGGAGGGAGGGAGGGAGAGAGAGAGAGAGAGAGAGAGAGAGAGAGAGAGAGAGAGAGAGAGATGGACGGCGTGTTTGCTGTGCCACTGCGCAGCGAACATGCCGTGATGACCGGGCGAACATGCCGTGATGACCGGGCTCTCTCTCTCTCTCTCTCTCTCTCTCTCTCTCTCTCTCTCTCTGTGTTACATGCCGCGCCTGCTACAGGCTGCACGGGCCATTTTCACCCGTGTTGTTTTCAGCCTGAAAGCCTGAAAACAAGGGCCTACAGGCGCCGTGTTGTTTTCAGCCTGAAAGCCTGAAAACAAGGGCCTACAGGCCCTGTGTCGTTTCAGCCTAAATCATGGCCTTTCCGGCCCTGAGTCTTTTCAGCCTGAAACTGAGGGCCATTTTCAGGCCCTCGTAAGATCGACCTGCCCTGAAACGTAGGCACCAGACCAGGGTCTTAGCTCAGGCTATTTTTGGCCTATTTTCAAGACAACCTTTGTTTGAGCTTCAACCCCAGGGGCTGGCACGTTTTGTTATTGGCAAGAGCAGCCTCCTGGACGGGCCAGCACTATATAAGACTGGCCCGCCCTGCAGGCTGCAGGTAGTTGCTAGGTAGTTCCTAGGTACTTCCCAGGCACTTCGCGTGCAGTTCAGGAGGCAGGAGGTAGTCTTCAGGATTCGGCAGCAGCACTCTGGAGAAGCGCTGCAGGAGTGGTGGTAGCGCTAGCAGTAGTCTTCAGCGCTGGGCGCTAGTAGCGTTAGCTGTAGTCTTCAGCGCTGGACGCTAGTAGCGTTAGCAGTAGTCTTCAGCGCTGGGCGCTAGTAGCGTTAGCAGTAGTCTTCAGCGCTGGGTGCTAGTAGCGTTAACAGTAGTCTTCAGCGCTGGGCGCTAGTAGCGTTAGCAGTAGTCTTCAGCGCTGGGTGCTAGTAGGAGCTAGGATAGTACTGGAGAGAGAGAGAGATTGGGCGGAGGCCAGGGAGACTTACCTGCAGCGCCATAGCT